AAAAAAACCCTTAAATTTGTTCCATTGTTTTTTTTTACAGCTGGGTTATATTCCATTGTATGTGTATGTTCTGGTTCCTTTAACCAGTTCCCTTTCCTCATTCATGTGCACTGTTGTTTGTACTGTCACGGTTGCTTACCGGTGGGAATATGTTCTGAGAAATATGTCCTTAGGCAATGTTGTCACTGTGTGAACATCGCAGAATGCGCTTGCAGGAACCTAGATGGCGCAGCCTCCTGCACACCCGCTTACGCGCTGTAGCCTGGTGCTCCTAAGCTGCAAGCCTGGGCGGCATGTTAGTGTACTGAGCGCTGCAGGCAACTGCAACACAACGGTGAGTGTTTACATATCTAAACGCAGAGAAGATACAGTGAAAACACAGCGTGAGAGATACAGGACGGACCCCTGGACAGGGCGCTTCCCGTGGATGGGCTTGCAGGCCCAGCAGCTGTTCTGGCGCCTCGGGGAGGGAGGGGTAGTGCGTGAGGAGGCCTCAGACGTTACTGGACACTACCGTAGTCCACTGCACACCTACATTTATTGTAACAATATCTTCAATAATAAATTAACCTTAGCTTAGTTAACTTGCTGTTTTTTTCTTTATAAACTTTAAAATTCTTTTTAACTACTTGACTTTTTTATATTAACACTTAGCTTAAAACAAACACATTATACAGGTGTACAAAAATATAGGATGCCCCCCAAAATGTACACACACCTTGAATAATTATAAAGGCAGGGTTTATTAAAATACATTTCATTTTCAAAATTGAGCTATCAACTGTTAGTGTGTGTACATTTTTTGGGACACCGTATATTTTTTTTACAACCTTATTCTATGAGGATTTTACTACTTTAATTTTTTCTTTTACCTTTTAAACTTTTTTGTTAAAAACTGAGACACACACACACACACACACACACACACACACACACATTAGCTTAGGCCTGCACAGGGTCAGGATCATCAATATCACTGTCTTCCACCTTCACATCTTGCTCCACTACTGGAAGGTCTTCATCTCTCATAATAACAATGCCTTCTTCTGGAACACCTCCTGAAGGGCCTGCCTGAGGCTCTTCTTGAGGCTCAGAGACATGTTCCAGACTGTTTGCTTTGGTTTGTTTCCTCTTTTTCATCATAGACTTACTTGTGAGCGCCTAAAACCGCATGAACATTCGTCTCGATCAATGAAAACCTTTTGATGTTGGGTTGCTGTGTATAAGGTCGAGCACTCTTTCAGGCATGTTTATTTTCCATGAAGGTCTTCTATTCTTACCTTTTGCCTATTGTTCTGTTGGCTAGAGGCCTTTTAGTTTGGATTGTAAGGAGTGGCACCCAGGCAAGAGGTCACACCTTCCTTTCTCGTGTGCTTGGGGGGGGGGGGG